CTTCTTCTGGTTTAGTAGTCAACATTTCTGCTGGATGATTAACAGCTAGGGCTGTTATTTTCAGATCCTTTACTGAAGGCAGTGAACGAATGTTGTTGTCTTGTTCTTCTAAAGATGTTGTTAATTCTTGTTCAACTGTTTGTGCTTTATGAAAAAATACACCTCTCGAAAAAGATGCTGTCCTTATCAAAGCATTCTCAGAATATTCTTCATCAGTCATTGTAAGTTTTGCTTCTGGGGAGCTAGTTCCCTGTTTTCTGTTTTTATTTGGCATTTCTGTGGTGTAATGTTGTTCTCCTACTCTTGTCGAAGAATGTGTTTCTTTGCCAGATTCTGCAGTTCCTGATGATCCAAGACTTATCTTTATATAGGGAAGTGACTCTGTGCTTATCATTTCTTTTGAGGTACTTGAACTTCTTTTCACAGTTGCTAATGAAATGTAATTAAAAGACATGTTACAAGACAATATAATTGTAGACATACGTTTAAATGATATAAACACTACCTGAATGACTTAGCGAAACAAATAATTAAACATGAAACAAAGATTATCAGCAAAAACTTTAATCAATCAATTCAGATGCCGTCTCCACAATGAAGGCTGGCTGCAATGGTTCTCTAATACTCTCTGCTTCTTGTCTTGGTAGTATACTTTTTCAAACTGCCTTTCAACCTTCTCTTGAAGTTTTCTTCCCATTTATATAGTTGTTTATTTCTTGCTATCTTGCCTTTCACTTTTCCCTCCTCCAGTATAGTTTTTAAGAGACTGTTATGTCTTTTAATGTGGCCGAAATAATTTGATTGTCTCTTTTATTTATTGAAAACTTAATAAAATACTATACACATGATTTTTGGTGAATGGAATAAACACTTAGGTCACTTGGATCATGATTCCCAAGCTTTTCTGTGTTCCTATGCATGCAGCAAACTAGCGTTTAGACAAGTGTTTGTGACTCTAAAAAAAATCCACTTTATGCCTAGGGTGTCCTTGACATACTATGACCACCATCATGCTGGTTGACCCCTGCCTCATTTTTGCTTCCCTCAAGAAACCAAACCCTCCATTTTTGTTTTCTCTAACCCTAATGGTATTTAATATGACCAAATTATTTAAGTTTCCTAAAGACATACTTTCTATAAATCAGTATATCAGTTAATTTAACTATTTCAGTACCAATCAATTCACCATATTTTTTTGGCTCTTCCAAGAAAATATAATTTTATTCCTTTCTTCTACCATAGTCAGAAGTTAAATTAACCCTTTATATCTTAATTTAATTACTTCTATCTCACAGTGTCATCCTAGAGATAAGATCAATCTTCTTTTGAAGTTGGAGTACATATGCCTTAGAGGCAGGGAACTAAATCTGCACACACAAAAACCAGTAAAGTGGATCCTGGCATAAAGCCAAAGTCTAACAGGACAAACAGCCAGGACTTTCTACTGGAATTCACAGCATGTGAATGCAAAGAAAAAAAGAAAAGCAGAAGATAAGCTACTCCCTGGAATAAGTGGAGTTAAAGTTACTTCTTCAACTGAAAGTGTTCTTGTTTGTTTTAGTATCCAGAAGCCATGAGTTGTTAACCCTTAGGCTCGGTATTATGGATATCGCAACCTTTCGGCCTTGATTCCATTGTAAATACCATAAATCTGGGAGAAAATGTGACTTTTCTGCCTACCCCCGGGAGTGTACCCGGACCACAAGGAGTTCGTCACCCGGTCTCCGCGCAATCCAGTTTAGCCAACTACGCTAGAGAGCCGGGCGAAAGTGTTCTTAAAATGTATCAGTTCTGTTAACACAAGAATTACCAAAGTAACAACACCAAGGTAATAATCACTCACTGCACCCAAGTTCATCACCACCATCTCCACAGTCATCATGTCCATCACATAAGTAGTGGTTCTTGATACACTCCCCACTTTTGTTGCACTTGAAATATCCTTGTTCACATACTGAAATGTATCATACTGCATGTATTATACTTGTACTGCAATGTTAACTCTTTGAGTCCCAAGGAAGGCATTATATGTTCATAGATTCCTACCTAGAAGCCCAATGAACGCAAGATGCGCCGATTTTATGTCTCTCGTGACTACCCCTTGGGCCTGTGATGCTAAACCCCCTGGGACTCAAAGAGTTAAGACTAGCTAATCTAACTCAGATTCAATATTGTTAGGTATGTAATGTTATTAAATGGGTCCTAAAACACATGCACTAGGCACCCAAACAGTAAGATTCAGGGCACAATTCTGCTAAGATCAGGGCACCATTCTGCATGTCCAAAAGATGTTGTCTAAACATGTGAGCCAGTCGTAGACCCGTTTCACGGATGTATTTCATTCCACTTCTCTTGTAACTGATGGCGTGAATGACACTGCGGCTCGTGCAATAGAATGCTTCACGTATGTGGAAGTTAAATTTGAGAATTTGAGACCTGCACCCTGAATCACATGTGGACAGGTCCTGCATACAGGTCTGTGGCAAGAGACCATGACAAAGTGGTGCTCAGATGCAGGACATAACCGACTCTTTAACTAGAATGCCCTTGAGGTTACGGTCATGTCTGTAGGCCACTAGAGGATGTGAAAAATCATGCTGGTGGCAAGGTCAACCCTAAGGATGGAAAGATGCCTGAGGAGAATATCTTTGCCATGGATGTTATGACAGTAGTAGGTAACTATAAGGACAGGTCTGTTGTGGTGACATTTAGGCTTGGAAACGAGGTGCCTCAGTACGATGTATAGCCCATGCTCTGTGAAAGAAAGCAGATAAGACATGTCCAGGGTACACTGGAAGCCAGAAGAAGCCCAGCATTTCTATGGCCTTGTGGTGAAAATCACCATTCTCCTGACATAGTCTGTGAATGCATAGAAGCTGTGAGAAAGAAATGGAGTCTTTGCAGGAAGAGGAATGAGAGGAGTAGAGAAGAAAAGCATGAGAATCAGTAGGCTTATAGTACACAGAGGTGCTGAGGACTTTAGAATCCACTGTGACAGTGAGATCCAGAAAATGCACTGACTATGGTGAAGTGCTGGAAGTGCATCGGATGCTGGGATTGAAGTTGGAGAAAAAGTGAATGTGGTCTTGAACGTATTGTGTGCTATAATTATCTTAATTAAAGAGAATATACTCAAAAATAGAGCCATGTCCAAGACCCAATAATTGTTACTCAAGTGTATGCTTGGGATAAATAGTGTTCAAGTTTAAATTATCTCAGACTGAAAGAGTTTATTTTATATATTTTTTATATATATACATGAGTGCTGCTAACCTGGAGCACAGCCCACCTCATCGCTGCCATCAATGCAATCAAAGTATCCATCACAGAGGTAATCTTTATACAAACAGCGTCCATCATGACATCTGTGGTCACATACAGCTTTTCACAAAGAAGAAATAAAAGGGAATGTGAAACTAAATTGTATCATTACCACTTCTGCTCTTGAGTTTGATATCTTCTTTTTTTCTTCTTCTTAGTGGAAGGTTCTGGTTGTTCATCCATGTCCAGACTATGGTCTTGTTCCAGAGCTTGAGTTGTGCGTGTACATCAGGCTTACAGGTATGGCTTAAATACGTAGACTTTGGTTCCTTGCCTCTCAGGCATATACACTACAAAATATCGCAATTAGTTGCCTTTTATGACATCTTCTTGGGAGGGGGGGAAGGAAGAGGGTCTATTCCCCCTCCCCCACTCATAATGGAACCCTGGAACCCACCTGGGAGTGAGCTTGATATAATAGTCATATTCACAACAACAATGCACAAAACGTTGACTGTTCCTTTGGTTTGTCTGGTCATTACTGTTGTGTACTGGCTCTTTGCAGTTTTTAGTCTTTCTTCAAATTGAAAAATGCTGCTTGCTGAAAGAGGTGTGATTAAAGTCATAAGAAAACACTGCATGAAAAAACAGAGGTGACATGATGAGCTATACCCAGTTACAAGCAAAGTCATCACAACGATATAGCAGGCCAACTAGAAGTGTTTGCGGTTCCAAGAAAACAACTTTGAACAGGATAAGGGTTTCAGATCATTTATCTTAGCCAGCTCTTATTATTTTTGAGCAAACGGCATGACAGAAATGATCACTGAGAAAAACTTATGTTTAAAATATACTCTTAACCAAATTTTAAATGCATGACCACCTTAATAGCAACTGGACAACTGGTTAAAGCAGTGCACCAAACCACTAACATGAATACATACCTAAATTATCAATAAGGCAGATTAGCAATGGACTCTGTTTATCTTGACTTGAATTTTTAACTAACATCTTTAAAAAATTAGTTCTGATGATTTTGTTCACTTAAGGTGTTGGTTCCGGTTCTCTATTAAAGGAAAAACAAGAATAGAACCACTACCTACCCAAAAGCATGTTGTAAGAGTTGACTAACTGGGAGCTTCCTTCGAAGTTGGAGTGCATCTGCCTGAGAGGCAAGGAACCAGCAGTCTGCATACAAATGAGTCAGATCTGTAAAACGGATGCACATGCAGCACTCAGGTTCTGGAACAGGACTGCAGTCCGAAAGTGGATGAACAGTCAGAACTTTCCGCCAGAGTTTACAGCTGGTGAACACGAAGAAGAAGAAGAAGACTTATGGAAACATCTGTATCTACTTATCTACTTAGTTTCAAGTGCTCTACTCTTTTAACTCTTTCAGTTATTGGTATAATAAATATGTAATAAACCATTTCTTTAGCACCCTAGACATCAGGTATCATATTCCCCTTACCTTTAGAATTTAGCCAGAACATTCTAAAGAAATATGGCTTCCCAGTGGCTACTTCCACCAAGTATTTAAACTTTCTTAAAGTCCCCCCCCCCCCCCCCACAGTCCGCTCATTCACTCCCTTTTATTCCAGAGTTTTCTGGTGCTGACCGGAAGTGTCCTTTATTTAAGAGGAGATAACTAGAGCTGCCCCGGTTGTTAAAGAGTTTATGGATCCCAAAGATCTAAACAATGAAGCTTGGGGTGGGGGTGGGGGTGGGGGGCAACCTACCTCCACATTTGTCTTTATCTTCGTCACTGCCATCATCACAATGAGCAACACCGTCACACAGCTGGGAGGAGTTTATGCACTCACCACTGAGCTTGCACTGAAACTGTTCACTAGTGCAGTTTTTCTTGTCTAAGAATGGTAATATAATAGTTTAAAACTATGCACCAAAGATTTAATGTTGAATTAGGAATCAACATCACTGGCTTTGTTGCATTCCCATACATGCTCTATCCCCATCTTCAGTAGCAAATGCAGAGTTCCAGTTCTGATGGAATCAGTAAAGTATTATTATAAATGCATCTCACTTTCCTTTGAGTGTTAAGCATATATTCCCTGGTCATTCCTCGCAACACCATTCTCTTCAGACCGTGACGACATGTAGCCACACTGTTAACTTGCTCCCAAAATACCCTTACAAAATCTAGTGTGTCACCAAGTGGCACACAACCATATATGCATCACAGACATATGAAAGAATTTTAAGGACAACATAAAAGTTTTACTAGGTCTTCCTAACACTTCTTCAACTGTACTTCTTCTTTTACCACTTTGACCGCTGAATTTTGAATTAAGAATCTATATCACATCACTCGGGACACTCCCATAAGCACTCCGTGTCCCCCTCTTCAGCAGCAAATGAAGAGTTCCAATTCCAAAGACACTGGTAACTGATTGTATATCCATCTCACCTTCCCTTGAGTGTTTAACGTTAGCTAGATCCCCTGGTAACTCCTCGCAGCACCGTTCTCCTCAGACCCTAATGATCTATTTGTGACCCGCACTGTTCACTTTGAGTTTTAAGGAACATATATGGTCTTGCTTAAGAAAATTAGCATTAAAAAAAAAAAAACAATTCTTCTGATTTACTGGACTTTTTTTTGGCTTCCAAGTTAGTTTTCCTTTGCAAATTATTTAACTTATTTTGTATAAAACATTGCATTTTTTATGGTTCTTCTTTATCTGACTTGTCAACCTCCTGTAGAGCATAGTCCCTAAAAATATTCACATTAAGCCCTTTGCAGACATGTCACAATTATTTTTTTTTCTAAAGCTAAATAAAGATTTCCTCATGAAGAAGTATCCAGTCTTCTTTTTTTTTCTTCAAATCGAAAAGAGAAGTCTAATGGCGCTGCCTAAGCAAAATTTGGAGTTAGAAATCTAATATGAGTATTTCAGGATCTTCGTTGGTGCTACAGAGCTCGTGCACTGCGCTGAGATTCTTCGGACTCAAGACTGAGTTCAAAGTAGAACGGAGCACTTATGGGTTACCAGCCTTGTACCTTGATGTTGATCCGTTGTATAAACAAACAAACAAACTTCTTTTTCTTTCAGTTCACTGGCTCTAAACTCAGTTCTGGGTATTCATCAGCCTCCTAACATTTGTCTTGTTCCAGAACCCGAGTGTTGTGTGCATATCTGTTTTACAGATCTGGCTTATTTGCAAGCAGACTGTCGGTTCCTTGCCTCTCAGGCAGAAGTACTCTGACTTTGAATGATGCCCCAAATTAATCAACTACTACAACACACTTGATAAGGAGGCAGTAAATCTATTCTTGTTTTCCCACACAATAGGGCCCCCAGAACCTACAGGGGGATGTGTCTCACTTCAACTCTTATTAGAAGCCTGTCAGTGGGTTACATTGTTACTATTCTTTGGAGTGTGCCCATTGTGCTAAGATGTTGATCCTCTAATTAGTAATCAGTATTCTTTGCCCTCCTTATGGAGAGTGAGTGAGGTATATGACTCCTGGCTACTTCTTTCTTAACTTACTAATAATTAAACCCAGGCAAAGCTTAACTTAACCTTTTAAAAAAAAAATATTATACATCTTTTTACCGTATCAAGACCGTTAATAGACTGTGATGGTTGGGACATATACAGAGAATGGCAAATAGAGTGACTAGAACTTTGTTTACAAAAGAGCGGATGGAAGTAAACCTTGAGGCAAACCAAGAAGATTGTGAAGAGATAACATTCATGCAAACCAATAATCACATATAATGACCAACTGAAAAAAGAATGCCAGTCACAAAGATCAAAGGAGGCTGGTGATATATGCAGCAGTGAACCTCAAGGACTTGGAATGCTGAAGAAGAAGAAAAGGAGACAAAGAAAAAAAAAGAAGAGGACGTAGAAGAAAAAGAAGAAGAAAAGGAGAAGTGGAATAAGAGGAGCGAGAAGCAGATGAAGGAGAAGGATGAGCAGAATAAAGATAGAAACATACAGAAATAGTGGCCTTGTTCCGAAAGAGTTGAATACTAACCACATAGGTCACTGCTTTCATCAGATCCATCATAACAGTCAAAGATGCCATTGCAGACACTTGACTGATGAATACAAATTTCATTGGTTATGCACTTAAATTCATCTTGAAGACATTCTGAGCAATTTGTTGGTCTGCAAGCAAATTTTCCTTCCTCACAGGCACTGTGGAGACATTAGAGAGCAATGAGATAAGTTTTATTTAAGTACATGCAAAAAAAAAAAAATTGTTAGTTTAACTAACTCAATTTGAACAAGTAGTCAATACCAAACAAGTAAGCATTAAGCTCAGCAAAGGAAAATGCACAAAGGAAAACCAGGCTATCCTCCGAATAACGGTCGGTAAAGATGGCGGCTGCAAAATATCTTTTCGAGCCACAGTCACGTGACCTAATTTGCGGTTCTCCGGGGGTTTTCCGACGACTACCGCCACCGCCACGAGTCCCCCATGCCGCTCATGTGGCGTGGATTAGGGCTAAACTAGATGGCTAGGACTCACGAGCAAAGCTTCAGGAGATGCGGTGGCGGTAGTCGCTGGAAAACCGCAGGAGAACCACAAATTAAGTCACAGAGGAACCGCAAATTAGGTCACGAGACTGTGGCTCGAAAGGATATTTTGCGGCCGCCATCTTTACCGACCGTTATTCGGAGGATAGCCGAAATTCATTTACTGGAGCACGCTCACACTCAACTGCAGGTTAGTTTGTAATCAGCTTGTGGTGCCCCAACATAAATGAGCTGTATGGTGATGTTGACCACATCACCCACCAAGTGCGGACAGGTCTATAAAAATTTAGGTCTAGCCTTATATTTCCAATACACCTAAAAGTATGGCAAAGGGACCTTTATGGACCTTTTATATGGTTGAATGGGTAGGATTAATTTTTCCTAATATTTTCCCCGCCTTGTGGATTTTATCAGTATTTTTTTTTCTGGTAGGATTTTCTATGTTCATTATCTGTTAAGTGTTCTAGAAAGTATACTGCTAGGTGGAGGTCTCTACGGCAAAGTGGTGAAGCCATTTTCCTCACGTTCTGAAGGTCATGGATTTGTTTTATGGCTTCGCCATTCAGTTCACAAGTGCACTTGTTATGGAGATTTCTAGGGATTGCTGCCAGAGCTACAGAGTTTGTGCTTTGTGCAATGTTCTCCTCAGGCAGCTAGATATTCTGCGGATAGAGATTGGGCCATATTGGGTAAAAACCTGTGCAATGAAGTCGATTTTCTCTGGATTTTAACCTTGATCTTGATACATCGATAAAACCAACAATTAAGAATTTGCATATTTACAACTGCTAAAAAAAAGGTTTTCCTATGGTCTCAAATGAGGGTCATATTGTACACAGAGCTAGAATTTTAAACATGCAAAATCGAGACTGAATGAATTTCACTATCTATGACATACCAAATGTTACAATCTTTTTTCAATACAGTTCCAGAATCATACAAGTACATGCCATCGTAGCATGGACACTGGGCAGAAGAAATGCATCTGGATTCTAGATGGGAAAAAAGGTATAAAATGTTGTACATTTAATAATTACACAAATAGATAAAGCTGATCCAGAAACATATTTCCTTATAATATTTTATTGCAAATACAACAAAGCATTATGAACTGGTAAAGTGAAAGACCCTGCCCAAGTCCTAAATTATTGTGTTAAGTTAGTGAAGAGGAATTTACAACAGTGTCAAAATTATAGGCTTATAAGACTCATCAGTACTCATCCTAGTAAAGTCATGCTCAAAATACTCCTAAACAGATTATAGCCACATGCAGAAAAGATCATAGCAGAGGAACAGGAGGGTTTCCATGCCGGAAGAACCACTGTTGAACAGATTTTTAATCTACGCATATTATCTGAGCAACACCACCAGTACCAAAAAAATTGATACCATATGTTAATTGATTTCAGAAAGGCCTTTGATAGAGTATGGCATGCAGTACACTGGGACACTATGAAAAAGTACTCATTTCAAATATTTAGGATCCATTTTAAGTGACTTGGGGGTCAAGACCAGAAATCATGTCAGACAACATCAGTCCTTTCCAAGCAGCAAACATTATGGAGATCCAGATACAAGCATTAGAAATGCAATGTTTCAGAAAAATTCTTGGCATATCATACAGAGACTACATTACAAACAAAGAAGTTAACCATAAAATTATGCAGCAAATTGGCAACTGTGAATCTCTTTTAACTACAGTGAAAAGATAAAAAATGCAACTGTACGGATATGTAATAAAATCTAACGGCCTCTCAAAAACAATACTGCAGAGCTCAGTAGAAGAAAAGAGGAGAGGAGACAGACCAAGAAAAACCTGGTTACAGAATCTGACTGACTGGACAGGCCTCTGGCGTGCAACCATGAAATCCATCGCAGCTGACCGCCAAAGGTGGAAAGTGCTGATCAGACAGTCAACAGAAACTGGTGACCCAATGACACGCAGTGTTATGGAATGTTGATGATGATGATGATAAGGAAGTTATGCTATCACAATCAATGACACTGCACACTGCACATTCCCATGCCTGCTCAGACTTCTGATGCAGCAGCCACTGCAAGGTACCTCTACTGACTACCATGAGATAAGTAAAAGTGAAAAGTAAAGATCCCTTTCCACGCCTTTAGGCGTATCAGGCATATGGGAAGAGCGCCCATAATTTTACAGACCATCAGCACTCGGTGGGTAATGTGGTCAGCATTACACCGACTGTCTTCACTTTCCCAGGACAGCCCATCCTGGTACCCATTCTAGGCTGGGTTGACCTGCGACGTCCCATACCATGATAAAAATCCATGCAGCCCGCAGTGGGTTTCGATCGCGGTACGTTGGATTACGAGTCGGACTCTCAATGCCTTAGCCACGGACGCCGCTGACTACCATGAGTACCTGGTTATAATATCTCCTATCTTGGCCTTGAAGGTGGCATAGACGTTCTTCACTGTGTCAGAGATTCGTCATTATCCACAAACCTAGTCCCTACTGCGTTGATAATATTTGCTGTGCTCATTCTTCTCTACACATCCCTTGGTGCATTGCCTGCTAGTTGGTCCGCTAGTACAATTATCCTAATTTGTATTGGTCATATGGTACCGCCCCTCACATTTGCATAGACTAGTTTGCACAAAATTTATGACGTCAGTATCAAATGACAATCTTCGCTTCTCATAATATTTTATCATATCCATTTTAAGGCTTTACTTGCCTGGGATCCAACGTCAGTTTTAGAAATTCAGGGTAATAAGGATTTGAGCTTATGATTGCTTGGTCAGCATTCAAGTGTGTCTGTAGCTCTCATTTAAAGGTAGAGAACAGAATTTAAACATGTTAAATGTGTATAGTTATTATCTACAAGTGAGACTGTATACAGAAGAGCACATCAGATTATACTAGGTGGAAGCAAAGGAAAATGAAGGGGAATTAGAATGTCAAAACAATATCCAGCAAGCTTGTCACATCTATACACAGTACCAAATTACAAATAAGAGTGATGCAGTGTTACATATAAATGACACAGCTTCTTATTAAAGGTTATGCTGAAAAGAAAGTGGATGGGAAGGATTCAAGAAGAAGACAAAATTACTTGCAGGTGGACAACATCAAAAGATGGATGGAAAAAACTGTTTGAAGGTACCAAAAGGATGCAGAACAGAGGGTGTTGTGGAAATCATAACAGCTGATCTGAATTTGTGGGATTATAGATGAAAGTGACAGTTTTCTAAACTATAATTTTATTTGTACTTTTCATTTGTAGTTTCTTGGATCTCAAATTTTTTGTGTTTTTTTTTTTGGGGGGGGGGGGGGGGGGGGGAAGAGAAGTAAAAGCAGAACCACTGGCCACCCTCCTGTCAAGCATGTTATAAAAGTCGGCTAATTAGGAATTATCAATTTACTGATTTAAAAATAGACATCGCTGGGCATACCTATAGGTCCTCTGTCTCCTGCAAGAAATATCTTAAAGTGTAGATGCTAACTGTTCCCGAAGCATTCTGATTGTTCTTATTGTTCTCTTCCTCCCACAGCCCCTCCTTGCCTAATCCACGCCTAATTCCTTGTTCCCACATTCTTACACACGTTATTTTATCTAACCTTGTGTCTTCTATCAGCATTTATAAATGGTCTTTAGAATATCTCCTTTGCCCAGTGCGAATGTTGCTGAAAATCTGCTCTTTTATTCCCTCGTACTCTTCATTATCCTACACAGTATATCTATGCGAGTCCCAGTATTGTTAAGGTACTGATTCTTGCTATCCATTCATGCCACATTTGTACATTTTGAATCTTCCACAGCACAGGAGTTTGCTGAAAGAGTATGTTTATAGCCAATTTAAAAGACTAGCTGTAAATCACACACACACATGTACGCATGCATGCACACACACACACACACACCAGCTGCCACTTTAAGGGTGAACACTGAAGAAGAAGAAGAATATTAACAGACTTTAACAGACACAGTAAAACACACATACCATGCCACACCGTTCCAGGTGGGCAGAAACATCCCTCAACTCCACCAAGAACATCACACTGTGTTGAGTTGTTAATGAGATCTAGGCATGTGGCTTTACACGGTCTGTTACTGGAACTGTAAATCATGTCTCCACCACATTGGACAGCTATGTCATTGTGGAAAATGAGAAAGAAAAAGGTTAGCATATAATAACCACACTAGATAGCTTTGTAACTTTCTTTGCTGCCTCTATTTTCCCCTTTTAGGGCTGTATAGGATAAGGGGCATCAGCTGGAGATTTGAAGGACACATGGCTACTGCAGTCACCATTACATGTTACAGGTTAGGAATATATTAACTCTTTCAGTACCAGCCAGCTCACTATTCAGTTCTTGATAAATCTTTACACTATACATTTCTTAGTAGCTTCTGTCCCGCTGTTTCTTGACATTCTTCTTCTTCTTCTTCTTTCGTTTGCTTGAAATAAATTATCTATAACTGCAATGTTGTCTATAGTATGAAGTTCACTGTCTTTTGTAATTCACTCAGTGACTTGTAAAGTTTGACTTGCACCGATGTTTCTCTTGGCCAAAAGTTTTGCCTTGATATGTTGTATTTGGGACAGTCTTGGAGGACATGATCTGTTGTCTCAGGTACCAATCCACATGTGCACATGGCTGATTCACCAATATTAAATTTTGTGTACATGTGGCTGAGAATTCAATTGTGTCCTGTTCTAAGGCGTTGAATAATAACTTGCTCTGGTCTTTCCATAAAATGGTAATCGTCCTGTGGCGGTTTTGGTTGCTTTCTGATTGATTTGATTATTCTCTTCTTTTGCTGATAAGAGACTGGTACGTCAGGTTGTTCTTCATTTGCACCTTCATTAGCTAGTTTATCTTAATATTAATTCACTTGATTACATTTGCTACTCTTACTCATTTTTAAAGAGGTTTATTACTTTACTTCACTGAAACTCAGATGATTGTTAGTTTAGTGTACATAATGTTTGGTCAGGATGTGCTGTGGTAACAACCATGTGGGACTAAAAGAATTAATATTTTGGCTTCACAGGGAGAAACAATATGTATCCACTACCAAGAATCAAGTCCAGGTCTCTCACATGAGAGCCGCATACACTAACCACTAGACCAGCCACTCCTATAAAACATGAAAAATGTGAAACTTTGGTATATCTTTAATACATTAAATAGCTATGTGATTATTAGGAACTAGATGAATAATGAAACTTTGGTTATTTTATCTGAAAAGAAACGTGACAAATACAAATGAATGTAGCAATGGTCTTGAATAGTGTATTTATTCTGGATGATTCTTCTCAACACAAGCTACTCTTGCTAGTCATACTTGTCATCACCATGGACCATAATTTTTATGGCTTTCTATACAGAAAAGTGCCAGTATGATTATTATTGTATTTGCACATAATTCCTGAGTTTATTGTTACTAATTTCGTTTGTGTCCAAAACATTTATCAGGTTTTTTAGTGCATGTGCTGAAGTAGACATTGGTGATCATGGCTTTTCAGTCTTGTCTGTCATTTCAGATTTTGATGACTGACATTGCTTATATTAACATTTGATGCACAGCTGTTTAAATAAACACACTTCCTTCCTATTCCTAGTTTATTTTCAATAATAAGACTTCAGTCTCCATCTACTTCTTTTGCACACATCCACTGTACATTTAATTTTTCATTATGGGTGTTGAAACATTTAAAAATTAGAAAATATTTAGATATAATCTTTTATATTTTGTCTGCATATACAATATTATTCTCATAGCTTATATACCTCCCAAACATTATATACAAAATAATGTTCATAGATTATATACCTCACAAACATTATAGACACTTCAGAAATATAATATTTTGGTACATTAAACCAGAAGATTATCTTACGACACAAATTCTGGTGGCGCCACTCCACGGGGTGACCTAAACTGTCGCAAACAACAGCAAAATGAGCTATTGTGTCACACAGGCAATCACTGTCACTGTCTCCATCACACCTGAAATGAAATGTGAATGACATAAAGATGTTTATATAATAAAAATACGGTAGTTTTCTGAGAATTTTAGATAAGGTAATGGCTTAAATAATGCTTCAAGTGTGGTGTAATAAGCAAGTAAAAGGTCAAAATTCTACATCTTGAGACAGATGGGTATATGGTGGAAGCTTCCATATTTTAATAGACCGATCAACATTTGCTGCTTGATGTGGTCAGTTTCACACAAAGTGTGTTTACTGCCGTTTGACATTTTTGGGTATCAATTTTCGGTGGAATGAAAAATAAGTCCCAGTTAATTAAAAAAAAAATGACTTGTTAAAGATTCATACTCTTGACCAAGAGGCCGAAAGGCAAGTATGCCAGCCATTTATCTCTTAATGTCTCCTCTGTGGTATCACAGTTGCTAAAATTTAAAGCATTTATGAAATAATCATTGAATATGTTCTTAACTGCTCTACATGTACCTCCCAGTAGCACAGTATAATATTATCACCTCTTTTTTTCCAAGAAGAATGATTTGATTTGATTCAAGAACCGACATCATAGCACTCGGGGCATTTCCATAAGCGCTCCGTCCCCAACTTCAGCAGCAAGCGAAGAGTTCCGATACTAATGCTGCCAGTAGCTTTCCTCTGAGCCTTGAGCTTCTGTCAGAACCTCTCGTCACCCCCAACTGCATCAATCTCACCAGACTGTGGTGATCCATCTGCTCCTCCGCATTGTACATGCTCTCCCACAAGGCACTAACCACGTCTGCCCTATCATGTAGCAGTATTCCACCAAGTTGTGCAGAGCCAGCTAGTCTGTCCACCTGTTTATTTCCCAACATACCGGCATGACACCGGTGAAAAAATCCAGACAATACTTACTTACTTACTTAGTCACTTCTCTTCTACCTTGGGGTGTGGAGGTTTGCCAGAGAGATCGCCAGACGTCTCTATCAGCAGTTTTCTTTCTGGCTTTGTTCCATTCCAGTCCTCTGTCTGTTAGGGACTGTCAGATGTTGTCTTCCCAGCGCATCCTGGGTTGTCCTGGAGGTCTGGTTCCCTGGTTCTTAGCCTCCCATGCCTGCCATGGTGGCCGATTTTCTCCCATTCTGCATACATGTCCAAACCATCATAACTGTGACTGATCCACTCGGGTTTGTAAGGACTGGGTACCAAGATCTTGACGTATTGTCTGATTGCGGACTTTGTCCCTTCTTGTCACTTGGACCACCTTTCTCAGATATCTCATTTCTGAGGCCTGCAGCTGGCTTCTGTGAGCTGTTGTCATTGCCCCCCAGACAATACTCCTCACATTATTTAGCTGTTTCCACGAAGAAGAAACACACCAAGATTCTGCATGATCTGAGCATCTTTGAAAATTGGCTCCTGAAACAGTATCCTGTCCTGAAAGCTGAGGTTTGTGTGTGTGTGTGTGTGTGTGTGTGTGTGTGCCATGTTAAGCATCATTGTGGCCTAGAGAAAACAGCGATGGAGGATACAGTTTCCGGAAAATCAGTCAGAGGCCGACCTCTGCAAATGTGGATACAAGATACTGAAGATGCATTTGCTATGAAAGCCCATAGGGCAGGAGAATTAGCTCCAGAAAGACTTTCAAGTGTGCAATGACATGAGCAATGTTCTGTATACAGGTCCTGGTGACTGACGATATGTCTGGAAAGATGGAGAGGGGCTAACAATGTAAAAGCAGTGGTTAGCCATGCTATTAAAATAAAAGCATAATTATACCAGGAACTAGCAATGTATTTAATATTAGAAAAAATGCACATAGCTTTTTATGTATGTATGTATGTGAGTTGTACCCCACAAGGACATCACACAAGCGATAAACACCCGGTGACACAAAGGGCCACTAGGTGGATGAGGATCATCCGTAGAGAGGTCCAGGAAACCTTTTTCAGCCGTTAGGCCATTTTTCAGAGCCAGCTATATTTAGGGCCCCTAATGAAAAACTGCATCCCACATGGAGACGACTTTATGAATTAATGCACATAGCTTTCATAACCAGTTTACTTCTCTAGGCTAAATTTAAGTTACACTGTATATGAAGACAAAATATCAATAAAGCTACTAGAAGACATGCTAAACACTTGACTAATCAATCAGTACACTCCTCTCTCTCTCTCTCTCTCTATCTCGCTTTCTCTCTCGCTCTTTCTCTCTCCTTCTTTCTCTCTCCCTCTTTTTGTGTGTGTGGGTGAGTGTGTATGTTTCTCTCTATCTCTCTCTCTGTATGAGAGTGTGGGTGAGTGTGTATGTCTCTGTACCTCGCTCTCTCTTTATGTTTGTGTTTCTTTCCCACTGCACATGTATGCTTATGTGTGAACGTACATATAATAAAAAAATATATAATTACCAATTCTTTATATGTAGAATTTAAGTATTATAACCCTCATATAATTCAATTTCAAACCATTATTATCTGCCGTGCCAGATGGTGCAAAGGTTTATGACTCTACAAAGATCTTGGCCCTAGGGTTCTGGATCTATACGCTACAGCCAGTCATCACAATGACGACATATACCTCTAGTTCCATTAATCATAAGCTGATGTTAGAATATCACTGCACATGGGTCGCCCCATAACAGCTCCGCTCATGTGTCAGTGAAAATCACACAATTGTCCTTTACTTTAAAGCTGGTGAAGCTTGCACATGCAAAGTAAAAATGCATAATGCAGCAGTCAGATGTGCTAACATTAATGGTCCTACATCAGAACTGCAGCTCACTGCTGACACAAACAGCCGATTACAAAAGCCAGCATTGTATCTGAAAAAGTACTTGTCATTCTGAACATAATCAACCATCTGCCATTTTAGTGTGGTCAAAAAAAAAAAAAAACACTGTGGGCACAACAGAAAAACCTTCCATATGAAATCCACAGCTCATAGTGTTGTATGAAGCACTCAGCTCAGGAGCAGGGTGATGGAATCTTTGAACTCCCAGACCAAAAATTTATTTTCACATCAGCAAATCCTAGCTGAAAACATTTTGGCTAATAATCCTCTCTTCCAAACTACTGGACGTACTTGCCTAGAAAAACCACAAAACAGCCCTTAGCTGGTTCTGCAACGTCTTGTAAAGGATACGCTACTAACCTAACCCTCTCTTCCCATGACAAGGCAAAAGAACATTTTCTTGTTAACAACTAAGTTTTTTTTTCCCTACTTTTACTTCATTAACTCTTTCAGTCCTACAGGGTTTAGCATCACAGGCCCAAAGAATAATCAATAGAGAAAAAAAAAAAAACTTTCACATCTTGCTTTCACTGGGCTTTCTGGTAGGTATCTATGAATGCATTTTGCGTTCCTTGTGACTAAAAGAGTTATGTGACTGATGTGAAATGCTCTTCATGTAAATCTTTCACTTACCAGCAGGTAGCTTTTTCACAGTCGGCCACATATCTGTCAATATGAGACTGAGACATAACTTCTCTACATTGTTGAAATGCTGCTGAGGATTTGATGATGTTGCACTGGGTGCGAGACCATATCGTTTTTACAGGGTTGTTCTGAAGGTTTATTATAACAGCAATTAAAGCACAGGTAAAATAGAGAAAAAGATATTATAAGGCTAGTAATTTGAGATTTTTTCACCATTTATTGTCATGTTATTCTAGTATATGAAACATAGGGCTCACAGTATATTTCTCCAGTCCGATCTATCCTGTGCTGTCACTTCGTAACCATGGGTGGAATCCAGTCCAAAGCCTTTGGCTTCTTTCATCAACGTTCATCTTAGGATTTCTCTTGGACATTATCATTTTCTCAGTCCATCTGTTTCCTATTTCACTGCCTGTTTGGTGATTCTCTGTTCATCTCTACTCAAAAAGTGTCCAGTATACTGTCACCTTCTCTGTCTTATAACTGTTGATGCTAGTGGTGTGAGATTATTAAAAAAACAAAACAAATAAAGATAGGTGTAAGAAGGCAAAATTAGTCTTAACACAGGTGAAACTTTGCTGTTCTGTGGCTTTACAGAGAAGAATGCCCCTCAAGAAGTAGTCCTAATAATATCTAAAGAGGTAGAAGAATGCACTAACTTGGTTAGAATCAGGGAGGTCTAGAATAACAACAGCAACATTGACATTAACAGCACCACAAAAAAAAGCCCCCCCCCCCCCTCAAGGAAAAAATCTATATAATCTATATAAAAAAAGTCATCCAAATAATGTAGTGTTACGACTAAACAGATCATACGGATGAATCAATTAAAGGGGTTTTTTACATTTATCTTCAAATTACTTTTAGAAATTAATGAAACAGCACTATTAACTTTATTGCTGGTGATCTGAATACTAATATAGGACCAGAGACCATACTATAGCAATATCTTGAAAACACAGTAGTAGGAGAGGAAGGAGTAGCAGTAATTAAAAGAAACTTTAAACTAAACAAAGATAAAACAGTTTATTACACAAACACAGTTTTGTTTTAAATACCTGACAGGGTGAGGATTTATTTTCGTTAGTCACAATAATGTCCTCCTCTTTCCAAGACTCAGTGAAAATGTCTATGTCAGGATCTACTGAACCATCTGGCTTACGGAAGTCATTTCTGGTGTTATAGTCATATGTACCACAAAGCCCCTCCAGTTTGCTGTCCCATCGACTGGACACCTGAATCCATGTCAGGAGTCCTGAGGAAAAAAAAAAATTCATATTTGAAAACTGTTATCATAAAGTAAAGTGAATGTTTGTGGTTACAGCACTCTGTACTAGATCAAAGTATTAATAATAGTATAATGAATGTCTATGGTTACAGAACTCTGTACTACATCAAAGTATTAATAAAAGTATAGGGAATGTTTGCGGTTTCAGCACTCTTTACTAGATCAAAGTATAAACAAAAGTATAATGAATGTTTGTGGTTACAGCACTCTCTACTAGATAAAAATATTAACAGAAGTATAATGAATGTTTGTGATTAATTTGGTTCAATGATACAGTATTTAAGTAGGTTAGAGACCCCCCCGCCCCCTTTTTTTAACCTCATGTAGCATTTAAGATATGGTCCTAAGCCCATATTATTTCAGTCGGTACTCTATAATAGGCTAGTCACAGTACTATTTCAGCACCCAAAGTAATCTGGCTCCATTATTAATCATGAGTAAAATGTTTGCAAATGTCTAACTGAAGAAATCTACAATGGGTAACATGTTATTCATCATCAGTGCCAGTTCAGGTGACACACATAATTGCACTTCTTACATTTAATCACAGCATGCTTAAGAAAACTGGCAAACATATTTGTATTTACAGGGTGTGTGTATTTGGCTCTTGTGAATATAATACACTTGCGGCTAGAATTATTGTTACTACCACCAATGTTCATCTGATGTGACTTTCTACAAAAGAAAAACATGTTTACTGAATAGTTAATAAATTTAGAAGTAGGATGAAAATATGCAAATATAAATACCTCCTGACCAATAAACTGTAACATCCAGAAAGTTGATTACTATGTAGAGAGTTGTGGACATGACTTTAAAAAGCCCAATTTTCACGGGTTCATCAAGAGAGTAAGTCTTGTTTCCAACTATAACCCCAGTGCCACTCACTAACTCCATGTGAACTCCCATAAAACTGATATCAACTTTGTGACTACAAGCTCTCTCATTGCTTGCACAAGCAAGGTTTCTGAAGGAGATCTGAAACAGACATAAGCAAATACAATAGCTAGTAGTCACTTAGTGTAAAACTCGACATGTAAAAACAAAACTGTGACAGTCTTAAACAAGATGAAAGATTATAAACCTGCCAGCAGAAATATGAAATTTCTACAGCGAGTGGAAAACAAAGTTGAAATATTAATTCTGAAGAAAACTATTAGGCAGACATATTTGGTGTAGGTTATATGAATTTTCACTGATTATACTTACTTGTGATTACTGACAGTGTGAATGGTGATGGTATATATATATATATAACAAATCAAAATATCAGAGTGCTTTAATTATTTTAATACAATGCCAGAGTTGTCTTGGATGGACAAACTGAGAATGCAAAGTTATATGGTATATAAGATTAATTAATTAGTTGTGTATCCTTTACAGGATGTTGCAGAACCAATCCCAGCACTTTCTGGCTGTTGTGGTTTTTCTAGGCAAATTTACGTCCAGTAGTTTGCCATTACCTCTGAATGGTCGGCTCTTGGCACCACGGTTGAAAATCACAATACAAACCGTCCGCAGCAAGGATCGAACCCGGCACCCTGACATTACGAAGCGCGTTCTCAACGCCTAAGCCACAGTTATACAATATACTTATTGAAAATATTCAGAGGTCGCAATAAGAGATAGATTTAAATGGATGGAGTTTGAGAAAAAATGGGATGATGCTTGGAATACATTGGAAAGGTCAAAATTGGTTTGGGAAATGAAAGTGGAATAAAGAATAGCCAGAAACAGGATATAAGAAAAATAAAACCTGGATCAAGGCAATTAAACCCACTGGAACACTTCCAGAATACAATCCTGAAGAATCAATCTCTATACACAAAAGCAACAGACCATTGTATTTATATTTCACACTGGACACACAGACTCCAAAGCCATAAGTACAAGAAATGTCAAAATAGGGACTTAGAACTTTGTCAGTGTGGACAGACACACCAAAATACCAAACAAATGCTGCTGACGTGCTCTCTGCATGCAGTTGGGAGTCCCCCATGTCTCGTCAATTAGTATTACGTCGAAAACAAAACTACAAGGATCAGTGGAGGACATGCATTGCATTACAGCCTTCACAGAGAACTGTGACATTTTCATGTGAAAACCACCTGCAGAAAAAATCAAAAAAAAAAAAAGAAGAAGAAGAAGATGATATGATTGGAAGTCTAATAAGTATGTTCCAACATTACACATTTGATACTTTTATTATAACTGACATGAGTACAGAGGAGCAGATAGCTGAAGAGATAGAGATGGACTGAAAGTTCTATTAGCAAGATATCACAACATCTGTTCCACATTACCCATAAGAAAGGACTGCACTTCTGCCACAATGACTAATGACACCACCCCATGTGAACAACAAGGCAAGAAAATAAAACAACAAAAACTTATAATAGACAACCCTATCCACCTCTATGCTGGATGACAAGACAAGAACATAGCCTATATTTGTATGTTTTTGGATTTAAAGTAAATCACTTGAAGCTGATACATTTAAAATCTAGGGCAGACCAGGATGTTAACCTTGGCTGGCTGCTGGTCTAGGACGAAGATCTAGAAGCCAGACAATGCTTCATGGATAACAAACACATAGTCTCTACAATACTATCTAGACTTTTGGGATGTGAAACTGTATCAAACTATCATGCTGTCTACAACAAATGATGAAATCAATGTAAAACTAATGCAAAATAATGTGTGATAGATAAACCTGAAATCCTTGCCCATCTCCTTGAGTTTTCACCAGAGTATATGCACTTTTTGCATGGAAGCTGTATGCTGTCCCATCAAAAGTCTCAACTTGGGTTTCACTTCCAGTTATGAAGCAAGTAGCTGTAGAAAATCAATATCATATATATAATAGGTTCTGTAATAAAAGCCATCAATGCTTTTTTTTTTAAAGTTATCGATTTAGAGAAACAAGACACAAACAAAAGACTGCATAATTTATTGCCTGGGAAATTTCACTGTTTCTCTTCTGTTGCATGCTATCTCTACAACTGAAAAAATGTAGCAAAGAAATAAATCCTGTATAACTGAAATCAATCAATCAGATACTGTTTCCACAATGAAAGTTGGTTGCAATGGATCTTCAGCAAGCGTTGACTGTTGTCTTGGGTATTACTAACTACGATTACAGGTTATCATCTACTAGCACAAAACTCCTACTCTCTTATTTCTAAGAGTTAATAATTTACTATGTAAGAAATAATTCATTGGTAAAAAGTTTAACCTTTGTAAGTATTGGACGATTGTTGGAAATAAGTTCTTTTTTCCCTTTCTGTTAATACCCCCCCCCCCCCCCTCCCCCTTTCCCTCCTCCACTGAATTCCTACCTTGACATTTGGTTTTTGTAATTATCGTCCAGACTCCATTCTTGCAACGTCTGCAGAAGAAAAATCATTCATTAAGAAGTATAATGCAATCGGTTACCGATATTTGAACATATTTATTGTCTTATAAAATGTACTGTAATATATTTTTAATTTATATTTGGCGCTACAAATAAACTAAAAAATAAAAAGGCAAACATAAAAACTATATCACAAGACAAAGTGATAATTAATGATGTGACATTAAATAAACTTCATAATTTTATAATCCTTCTCATTTGGCGTTAGAAAATCAGGAAATGTTTTTATTTTAAATATTTACTATTGTGTTTCTAAATGCAAAATGCTATTTTCTTTGAATAATTATTTTGGAAATTAATAGTAAAACACATACACACATGATTACACACATTCACACACATGCATGCATTCACATGTACACATAATCGTCTGTAAATGCACACATACACACAGTCACTTTAAAAAAACCTCTCTAAATATAAGGAGCAACAACAAAATCTAAATAACACACATCTTACTTGAGAAAGCACTTGTCCGTAATATCGGTACCATTCTTGTGCCAGACCCCTTCATGATAGCAGGGACAGTAGGGAAACTGAACACATGTGCCAAACTGTGGACAAACTTTGAACCTATATTTGCATATTATGATGTGTTTTAAATGAAGACATAATTATTTTTTTAATAATATTATTATATAACTTTAAATTGCTTCTGGTCCAGTATGGTAGACAGACAGACTGTTAAAGCCTTGGCATATTATCTGCTATATCACATATAGTGCAGCTCATTAAAATGCTCTATCAAGACCAACAAGCAGCAGTCAGAATAGATGGAGAGACATCAGACTGGTTTGGCATCAAGCAAGGAGTCCGTCAGGGATGTGTGCTGTCACCGTATTTGTTCAACCTGTACGCCGAAATATAATGAGAAATGTAAGAGATGATATAAACAAGGAACAATATGATGCCCTAAACATCGGTGGTCATGAAATACCAGAAATTCGTTATGCTGATGATACAGTTTTACTATCAACATCACAAAATGGTTTAGAAAACTTATTAACCTCACTCCAAAGAAATAGTGAAAATCATAACTTATTTCTTAACAGCAAAAACAAAGATAATGCATACAAACAAAACTGCCATGGAAAAGGAAATATATGTTAATGAGGAAAGATTGGAAGTGGTGGAAAATTTCGAATATCTTGGGTCACTGGTTACCAACAATGGTGACACAATGAAAGAAATTAAACGGCGACTATCAATTGCTCTTCAAAGACTAAAACAACTGAATAAATTATGGAATTGTACAGATAGAATTACAAAGGTCAGATTTTTAAGAGCATGCATCTTTCCCATTGCAACATACGCCTGTGAGACCTGGACACTTACTAAACAAGCAGAACAGCGCATAAATGCATTTGAATATAAATGTTACAGACAGGTTCTAAGAATATCTTGGGTAAAGAAAAGAACAAATGCATCCATACTTCAAGAGCTGAATATTGAAGAGGGTTGGCTAGTAAAGACAATAAAACAAAGAAAATTGAAATATTTTGGTCACTTGAAACGTCATGGAAGTCTAGAGAGAACAATAATGGAGGGGTATATGCCTGGGAAGAGAGGAAGAGGAAGGCCAAGGAGAAGATGGGTGCAGGATGTGGCAGATGATCTCCAGATGGGTGTATCAGACGCGGGACATTTTGCTCAGGATAGGAAGGTTTTCCGGAGGGTTGTTATGGCAGCGAGGTTCCGCGAGGGACATGCTACTGAATGAATGAATATTATCTGCATCTGGCCATAGTTTGCTGTTGCATTTTCCCCTTATATGTGACTGAGTACACAGTTCCATGGCCCCACTACTGAGTTGTGTGCAATGTATGACACAGTGAGCAATGGATTTCACATGGAGTGCTATTTTTTTACTGTGTACAAGGTGGTTTATGTTGAGAACTGCAGATTCAGAAAATGACAGGTGGCCTGAAGCCAAAAAACTGGCAGTGCCCTAAGTTGCATGCACAACTGCTAATATGTTGTAAATGGTGATCATTTAATTATAAACTGCACTTCTAGTAAATATTTTTGTTGACATCAAAAACTGCACTTCTAGTGAAAATTGTTGTTGGTGGGTATTTCTGGTGGCTGCCTTATGTATTTAGTGGCTGGCTTTGCTGGGCCAGGAGTCAAGTTAAAATTGTTTTAACAAGAGACAATTGAGTATTGAGCCCGGACCATTGTCTTGGATAGCAAGCGCACTGTCATCTTTGCCACCAGAATAGAAAGTTTTGCAACAGTATATGAGCTGAAAAGCTGATGGCCTTCATGACAGCGAAGAATGAATTGAGTTGACTTTAAGGAAACAATACCACTATGGGACATTCCCATAAGTGACCCATCCCCATCTCCAGCAGCAGCTAAGAGTACAAAAATTGATGGTACAGTAGCAGTCTGATTGTATATCCATCTTTGTTTTTCCAGTGAAAGTGGAGTGTTGACCAGATCTCCTGGTCACTTCCCATTGCACCATTCTCTTCACACCATGATAATCTAATAATGCCTCCACACTGTTCAACTACTACCGAGAGGTTCAGAAGCAGCCAGTCTGTCTGCTTGTTCATTTCTCAACATACATGCATTACCTAGAGAAAATATCCAAAGGATGATAACTATCCTAGACTTCTGAAATGATATATTACACTCTGTACAGAGCATACCTATCTCCATCTTTCCCAGCATGCATTTAAGTCAAACTTCATGACATTGAAGAAGACAATATAAACAGAAATCAGTTAAAGTTATTGATCTGAACTTACTTGAGTCATGACATATCCTTTCTTACAAACACATATTTTTGTGTATGAGCTGTCGTCATCGGCACATGTAATTTGGTTAGAGTATTTGTCTGGGCACTTGTAATTCAAACATTCCACAGTGCTGGCATTTTTGGTAACAACTGCCATTTGGTCCTTGGGGCAAACAATCTTTTCACATCCTCTCTCTTCACATCGTAATTTACCCTGGGTACAGTGGCTGAGGAAATAGTCAACTTTTTAAAGAAACACAAATACAATTTCACAATTTGTCTGGTATATTTTGTTGTAAATTGTCAGGTGCATGCGCAATTTGCATGTTCATATAAAGAAGCATACAAATGAAGCTGTTTGACTTAGATACACAATTTATGTGGTCAAGTGTTTCATTTTATCTTTTAACATAGTATTCTTGGACTAATTATATGTTCCTTCTGTTTTCAGCCCATGCATATTGCTGTTGCTTCAGCATGTTTCACCAAAGGATGAATAATAAATCACCCAGAAGACAAAATGCCTATTAGTCACATAATGAGTTCAGCAGTTGAGTGCATATAAGAGTTTGGTTCTTGTCTATTCATTTGTTGGGTCTCATCTCCATAAAAGTAACTCAGGAAGGTGTACATTGATTCTGAAATTGTATTTATTTTTTTTATATTTTATTCACAGTGGGAAAACATAGGTTTGAGAAACATTACACAGACTACCACATGGAAATGTAACTGTGAGGGATTTCTGGATTTCTCTCCCACCCTGAGAGAAGACCATACACTGTTTGTTCTAGCACTATGACTGTTCACAGAAATTATTATTCTCCTCCAAAAGCAAAAGATTATGCAATGCTAATGAATCAGCTTCTTATAATTTCTCAGTGGAGCAAAAGCCCTCAGCCAATTCTTGCTAAGGCTTTTATAAATTAATTTATGCCTGATTGGATTTGTCAACTGAAATTGTTTAAAGGATAGGGTAGACTCTAAGAAGTCTATTTAGATATGTATAGTAGGTAACAGTGCCACTTCTTCTTCTTCGTTCACCGGCTGTGAATTCCGGCGGAAGGTCAGGGTTAATCGTCCGATTGGACTTTTGGCTTTTACCTGGACCTGAGTTTTGCGTGTACAACCGTTTTGCTGTTCCCTGCCTCATGGGCAGCTGTACTCCGACTTCGAGGGGTGCAGGTGTGTGTGGGTGGGTATGTGTATGTGTTTGGGTGTGTGGGTGGGTGGGGGTGGGGGGGCTTCATAACAAACGGTAATTAGTTGTGATTAGTCAGGTGGTATCACTAGGGCAACTGTGGAGACGAGTTTGCTTTTCCCCATACCCATAGGTCTTAGAGTATGAGATGTTGTGCAAACCCAAGGGGTGTAAACTGTACTGGAAAACAAAGCTAAGATGATATAAATAGCAGGATCAGTAAAAGTCTTTACTACTTCCTTACGAAGACTCAGGATGCAGAGTTGTTATAGGATTAAATAAGTGAGCAAGCCCAACTTCCTGCAGATATTTACCATTAATTAATTATTAATTAATTATTATATTATTTTACAGATTGACAGTTAACCAATTATTTATAACAAAAGTAATGAAACAAATAATTATATTATTTCTAACAAGAAAACACTTACCATTCATGGCATGGAATTTCATTAACTAAACCAGGTTTGTAGTATTTCCCTGTTGCTATGTTCAAACACGAACACTGGCTTTTGGGTACACAGGACCCATTGTTATTTCTGTAGAAGCCATCAGCACAGGAACAGCCATGGAGAATCTTACGTTGGCAGTTCTCTCTTCCAAACACCAGATCATGGCAGTTTGTTAAGCAGATATCAATATCCTCTCGATAGACTAGGCCTTCTTCACAAGACATAAGTTCTACAATAGACAGAAAAATTGTCAATGTTTCTTTTAATTTAATTTTTCTTTGTTTAAAATTTGGTTGTCGGCAGCTGAGGATATAGTTTTAAACCTGTTTGATGTGGAAGGCAAGTGGAAACTACAACATTCTTCATCACAAGAAACTCATCATGGCAACAAAGACATTTTTTTGTCTTCTGAAGTAGCAGACCTTAGATCAGGTAGATAAATTTCATGAAATAAAAAAAAAATATCATAGGGGAGTAGAAAAAACCCTGTATATGGAAATAAACGAGTTAATGGAATAATTAAAAAAAAAATCAGAAGCTTCTAAAGAATATTAATGCAAGAGTCTGCAAGAGATGTGTTACAAGATGATGATTTAAATTTGTGTATTTTGTTACATTTATTACACTTTCTGTATTGTTTATAAGCTTCTAGTACATTCTGAAATGTTTACTGCTCAAACCCTATTTTAATTTAAATTTACAGTGTATTTATCTTTATTTTATCAGTAAAAATTGTCACTTTCCATTTTCTTTTATTCCAATGCCATAGTCTTTGTCAGTCAAATCTGACTGTGGGGTTCAAAAATCTTACTAGGAGAAAGCCAACTGTTGCATTGCAATACAATACTTTTTGGTAAGTTCTTTTAGTTAATGCTTATTGAAGTAAACTCGTGGAACTGAATTCAAAGAAAAAAAAGGTTAAAAAAAAAGATAAAGTCGGAAGATGTTAACAAGAGTCACTGCACACGGTTACAAACCATAAGTGCTCTGCCACTAGTGCGGACAGCTGGTAAGAAACTGTCTGCCTGTGTCGCCGTCCGCATGCAACTCTGTAGCTACAGCGATGTTTCTCCATTTACCCCAGAGTATTAACTCTGGTACCCACTACCCAGAGGCTGGGTAAACCACAGGAACCACATGATTTCAAACACTGGCCATATGCTGCAGTGATTCGCAGCTGGATTTGAAAGCAAGTCTTTTATCAACTGCGCTAACATGGCTCCCCCAAAGAAATAACTTACTCTGTTGGTCAATGCATTTCAACTGTAGTTTTTTTTTGAAGTACAAAATATTATTTATCATTTAAAAAAAAAACATGTAGCAAGATATACTTTAGTGGCTACTCAAATTTGATGACATTTATGTAAAATAAGTCACAAACCATCAGCACACACTTCCGTAATATGCATATCTTCAAGTGGGTAGTCAAGCAGTGTTGTCAGTGGAACATCTACAGTGACTGCCAGTTTGAGAATCGCTGGGCAGATATTTCTCAGATCAGTATGAGACATGCATACTCTGTAAACATTCTCTGCTGCACTTTCTGTCTGATTAAATGTCTCATAGAGGCGTTTTAGAGATTCACACTGTGGAAACAATATTTGGTTTGATAGTCAAATCTAAAACCAGGTGCTTAATCTTATGTGTTTGAAACTTTGAATACATTAAATAATCATGAGTAAATAATGCATTATTTATATTCTATAAATGCCGTACAGGATATTTGAACACACAGTATTACAGAGCACCCCACCAACCCTCCTTTCTTCCTTCCTTCCATCCATCCATCCATCAATCCTCATCCATCCATCCATACACTCACCCACTTACCTACACACTCACCTAAATTCATTCATCCATCCATCCATCCATTTAACCAGCCAATCAACGAATCACCTATCCATTAATCTATCCATTTACCCAACCAACCAGCCAGCCAACCGACAAACCAAATAACCATCCATTCAATCAACATGCCAACCTCAGATACTCAAACTCAAGACTTCCATGTCTACTACACTACACCAAAACAAAAAGTGAGAAACAGTAAAGTCAGCTATGCTTGCTTGCTTGCTTGTTGTACCCCACCAGGATATTACACAAGCGATAAACACCTGGTGACACAAAGTGCCACCATGGGATGAGGATCACCAATGGAGAGGTCCCAGAAACCCTTTCAGCTGTTATGGCCACATTCATGCCCTGGCTATATTCAGGGCCCCTGGCAAAAGCCAGAGTGGGGCTTCAAATAAAGAAAAATTGCATCCCACATGGGGACGACAGTTATTAATGTCAAGTCAGCTATTATTATTCCATTTCATCAGGTATTATTTACCTTCACATGGTGGACCCTGTTCTTCCCAGCATTCCAATTGAAGGATGGGGTCTCATCCCCTAGCGGGAAACTGGATGGGACAACAAATAAGGTAAAGGTGAAGGAATAAGCCCACTCTCGCTCTCAAGAGATAAGTAAGTCGAATTACTGAGCCATATGGCGGATCAAAAACCACAGTACTACGCAACCACTGCTATATGTATGATTAGTTTTAACACAAAAACTTGTCTGTCAGTGTAAATCAGAAAGCAAACACCAACCAAAACACCAGCAAGGAATATAACCAATAACCATCCATCAAATTAACCATCTATCAATCCACCAAATCATCCATCCAAGCAACCAACCAACTAACACACTCCCCACCCCCCATCCAACCAAACAATGAAGTAACTAACCAACCAACAATCAATCCAACTATCCAAAAAACCAGTCCTCAACCAATCAATCACTTAACCAACATACAAACAAGCCTACCCACCAAACAAACAAACCAATCCTCAACCAATCAATCACCTAACCAACCTACAAACAAGCCAACCCACCAAACAAACAAACCAATCCTCAGTCAATCACTTACCAACCTACAAACAAGCCAACCCACAAAACAAACAAAAATGTCTTTAGATAAATGTTTTAGTTTACAAAATATGTATACATTAAGGATAGTATTTAACAACTAAGTTACAAATCTGTTAACCATGCACAATCTTTATAAATAAGGTTGGCTGCAATGAGTCTTCAAGTTTGTATGTATCTTGCCCTTATTAGGCAATCCATCTTTTGATGTTAACCTCCCACATGTACCACTGTTTTTCAGAGTCTGATTAACCATAAGTACGCTAAGAGCATCACAAAGGAAGAGGACACCACATACATTTTCTATAGCTTCTAAAGCTGAGCATTTATTTTGTCAGTTGAAGTATATTAAACATTTCCCATCAGAACAACAATACAACAAAGCAGGCAGGATGCTTTATCTTTGTTAAGCATAGAAGCAAATGTATTCCATATGATTAGCTTTGAGGGTCTAGTTGAAGACTTTGCAGTTAGAAACTTTTAAATATAAATAAATGGAAAGTATTGAAAAAATTTTTTTTTTGTTTAACCTTACTGTAGGCTGTGTTTTAAATTCAGAATTGTTTTTTTTAAATTATATAGTTTATTTGTTTGTATTTTTAATTACATGTATATGGGGGATTGGGGTGGGGGGGGGGGGGGGGTGTAAGGGTTGGGGAGAGG